AAACTAACATTTTTTCTTTTTTTACTTCACCATGGTGTTCAAATACATCCAATTAGCACATGAATCTTCTATAGCTTTCAAATTTTGTTTCATTTCTTCATAATGGCTCCTAAAGATGGTAAAAGTTATTTTTACCAAAGTCTTAAAATCTTCTTTAAATAAATTCTAAATAAATTCTAAATAAATTCTAAAATATATTATAATATTTTTATAATACTAATATCTATTTAAAGCTAAATTTTTCTATCTTGGTGATTTATTATAGTAATAAAATCAATTTAAATTTACTAAATATTTTATCTTCTATGTAATTAATTGAAAAGACATGAGATTCTTTCTCATGCTTCTTATGACAAATAATTCATCATTGATAGGATTTTCATAAGTATATAGAATATAAATGTATGTAGATTTGATCATACCTTGTGGCAAAGCTTCTTAAAAGTTTTATAGACATGGATTTAACTTTAGTCGTGTTTTTAGTTGATTGATAGATTTAAATATAAATATCCATATGGTTAGTAATTAAATATTTACTCTTTTTGAGTGTCAAAAGAATGTATTGAAGATTTTATTGTCTAAAATTCATATCTTTAATATATAGAGAGCATATTTTTTTAATAACATACATTTGCAAGCTTGATATTTTATCAATAAAATTCTTAAATTAATACAAGAAGAATTTTTTATAAATGATATGTATATTCAAATTAACATAAGGGATTTGAAATCATTTCTACATACTTACAAATACAACTCTATTTTTAATAAATATTAGAAGAAAGATCCCTATTACAAGAATGAGTCTTAGAATAACTTGTTACAAACATATATATATATTCTAGTAATTTTCTAAATAATATGAATAGGTAAAAGTAGATAAAAGTAAATTAATTTAATAATATCTTACAAAAAAGCTTTCTAGAAGCTCTATAGATATGGTTTCATCTTTACACATGTTTACAAGTAATTGATAGATTGAATACTTGGCCAACAAATTAGCCACATGTTGCACATGTTGGTAGCTTGTGATACAAGCTAATCATATGGTGTACATATAAAAAACTTGCCTTGCAAGTTATGTCACATGTCTCGCAAATTAGACACATCTTAGAAGTCTTATAGAATGTCTCCATGTAACTTCTAGTTAGATAGTATATATAAAGATAAGAGTGAAGCTTTTTTCATTCTTGTCAACTACATTTTTTCTTCTAATCTAGTTTCAAGAATCTCTAATTTTCTAATCTTTGGTAATAGCTATTCTAATTTCTTCTTGAATAAACATATTTTCTTATAATTATTTTGTCATCTCTCTTTGATACTTATCTCAATTGTTTATGTATCTTCTTTGAGTTCTTGGTCTTGACACAATCAAAGATCAAATAATATTAGATATAATAAAAAAATATTTTTTTCCTTAAATTACAAAAATCTAAAACATTATATTAAAAAAATTTAATTTTTAAAATAAATGATAAATATTTTAATAAGTTTTATAATTTCTAATTAATTTTTATTCAAAATCAAAACAACCAAGAAAATTATCAATTATATATAGCTTTTATATTTAATTTAGTAAGTATATCATCCATAATTAATCATCATTGATATCTAGATATTAATACTACTTAATATATGTCTTATGACAAAAAAAACTTTTTAAAATTGTAAACAATAGCCAAATTATTCTTTAATTTAATTAAGTGAGAATACTACCTATATATTTGAAGATTAAGGAGATTTCGTACTAAATTTATTTAATAATAAAATAAAATAAAATTCTAATATTCTACATTTTTTAGCCTTTTAAAAAACTTATTTTTACTAATATAATTTAAGAAAGTTGATAGAAAGGTTTTAATATTAAAAATAGAAATATTCACAAAAAATAATATTGTTAAAATACTTACTACCTATTTATTGGAAAATGATATGTATAAAATTAATAGTATTTATAAATTTGATTCTAGCATAATTGCTTGTCTTATTATTGTCCATGATAAAACATATTTACAACGTTATTACTTAGATTATATAAATAAACAAAAACTATAGCAACTTAAATCAATATTTATTGGCAAGATACTTATGATGTCAATATTATACTATTATTTCAACCTTTATTATAAATAAATAATATAAATTTTTTATGTTTTTTAATCAATAAAACTTTTTTTATGCTACAAGGTTGTTGGAACTAATTTTTGTTGTGAATTATTTAGACTAATTAATCTACCAACTTACTTTTTATTTTTATATTTCTTAACTTTTATTAATATCAATACTTGATATTCAATTGTTTATTTATTTAAAAATAAATTAATAATCTTTGATAAGTTTTAAAGATAGAAATAATTTGTATAAAATAAAACTTCTTAAAAGTCAATTATTCTTTGTTCATATAGCAATAGTAAATATAAGTCTAAAATTTTATTTATTTATTTATTTTATTTTTCTAAGAACATGGTATTCAATATCTAACAAATTTATATAGTCAATTTTAAAAAATATCTATCACTCCTAAAAATGACGATGCTTTTTACTTTTGTAACATCATTTAGCTCCCAAGCAAAGATCTCAACAAATAATATATTCTTACAAAGAACTAATACTATTCATAGAAGGTTAAACAAATTCTTAATTCAAATCCTAAAGTTAAGAAACAAGCTTTGATTATTAATACAATCCATGAGCCCACTACTTTTAAACAAGCTTTGGCTAGTCGTTATTTCAAAGAATAACAATTAATCATTGATATAAAAACATTTAGTTTTATTTTAAAACAAAATGTTGCCAAGAATTTTATTTTCTAAAGAATGTAAATCTATTATCTCTAGGTAGATTTTAAAAATTAAATATAATATTGATAATTCCATCAATAAGTTCACCCTTCTTTTACTACATGGACATTCTTTTATGCTACACACCTCTCTATACACACAATAAAACTCTTATTTATCCTGAATTGTTTTACGACAAGTTTTCAATAAAAAATTTCTTAAATGAAATTACTAATCTTTTAAAGTGAATGAAAGACTTCAATAAAGCAAATTATGAAATCTTGTCAAATTTACTAAATAAGCAAAAAGAAGAAGAAGAAGAAGAAAGAAAAGAAAAAAAAGAAAAAAAAGAAAAAAACATGCCATAAGCTAAATCACATAGATTTACTTATACAAATTTATCCTAAAAAATTTTAGTGGAAAAGAGAGTTATTGTCCGTATGTAGGGATGGCATAAGACACAAGAATTTGCTTTAATTAGACACAGTCCCTCTTTACAATCAAATTGGGTAATTTTTTAAAAAACTGCACTTCACAAAAACTACCTACAATCTTTGCAATCTCCTAATTTGAAACCAATGCTACACGTGAAAACATTGTTGCATCTCCTTTGCCCTACACATCTTCAAACTTGCAAATGCCATATCTATCAATGTTGCATTCAAATGAGAAAGGGTTCCTTTGTTATCCACTCCTTCCTAATACAAGGAAATTCTTCATCCTAAACACCTCTACTTTACTCCACGCTCACTCACTCACTGTCTCTCACCACCATTGTCTCTTGCACATATCAATCATCGTCGAAGTTAGTTGGGCTTTGGTGACTTCAAACCTTTCAACTCATCAGCTTCCTCCTCCTCTAAAAGTCCCCACAAACTTTGCCAGCTTCCGTTGGGTGACTCCAGCCAAATGCTCAATTTCAAGTCCTAATCTTTGCGAACACTCTCTTCAACTCTATTGCCTCTCGGAATCATTTAGCTGAAACCATCACTTTTATCCACAGCTAACCGCCAGAAGCACCCACTTCCACACTGCTTTGAATCCTTCACAAATACAACACCGAGACTGCGTTCCCTCCTTGAATTGTTGCGGCCACACACCCGCTTCACCCTCTAGTTCGGCTCCACTCCAGTCACTTATCAAACATACCACTATTCCAGGCCATGGTCGCAATCGCTGCCTCCTAAAACCATTCTTTGTCACCGACTCACATTCCTTCGCCTCGCCCCTTCTTCACTTCTGCTCCTCTGGGCTCCACACGATCGCCATGTATGCGATCATTTCCATCCGTTGTAAGAAAAAGCGAATACGAACTTGTCCAAACTACCTCCTTGTTCCGTTGTTCGTCCAAGCAACTTACTAGTCCTTCACAGAGTTCCGCAGACCTCAAACGTTGTTGCCAACACTCGGCCTACACACCGTCTCCGCTTTCCTACCTGGGCAGCATCCTGCTGAGTCCGCCCAGTCCAATGTATTACGTACAATATCACCGATGCGTCCAGGCCTCTTCGACACATCTCCGTGTTTACAAAGGCTCTGTCCAGTAGCTCTTTTTCCTTGCTGCCCGCCTTGACCTTGTACTTTTCTTTGAACAAATTCAGCACCTCTCCCTCTCCATTGTTGTACAGAATCTCAGAATTGCCCGAATCGACGTCGATAGTCTTGACTCTGCCATCACATCACGTCCGTTCCGAGGTGCAGTACACCGAAACCGCATCCCCGCGCTCAGCCTCGTATGTCAAATACTTTGTTCTCTCCGATCTCCACCAGCAATCATCGAGTACGACTTTCTTTTCTTTTCTCTTGCTTGTCTTTGCAGGATCACGTGGTTACTGCAAACGCTAAACTTCTGTGGTAACCCTGTGGCGCTTATTCCCATGAGTGCACAAGATGATTGACCTCGCAACAACCTCCTCAATAAGCACCGCAAGCCTCAAATCCTGTCTCTTCTCAACTATTTGCGTACTAGATAATAATATCAAAATGAAAAATATCAAAAGGGCAAAATGATAATTCAAAAGTCTAGATGCAAATATAAGGCTTTTATAAAAAAAAATGTATCATATTCTCATAACATCAAACACCATTCCTCGATCTCGCTTGAACTCATCCATACATGCAAAACCAATTTACAACTACTAAACAAAGTCATGATCGACATCTTAACTATTACTTACCTAACAAACATTTACTGCACACAAACATGCAAGGTAAACAAAATGGAAGAACTGTGCAATATACATTATCAATTCCAATAACTGTATGTCATAATGGAGAGAAACACAGCAAGCTCCCCACTTCTGAGGTCCTCAACATCTTCACTGTGACGCTAGCACACAATTTTCCGAACTGAAATTTCATATGTGTGCCCAGCCTGAAGCTTTTAACCCTTAACTCTGTAGACGTTAACGTCTTTCTGCGAATGCGCTGAAGCCAAATCTCAAAGATTTGTAACATTCGACTTGATCAGTGGTCACAGAAAGAAACCCTAAATTCTATGGCACAGAATAGAGAAAGTTGTGCACTAAAATACAGCCCACCAACAAGACTTGTCCGGTCCTCAAATCTGTGATATAGGATGGGCGCTACACCTGAGCCCCTGCTCACCGCTATCCATTAAGTGTTAAACGGGATAAAACATCTTCCTTGAGCTTCGAAATCAAGTCCTGCACTTGAGGCGTCCAGAATGGGAGCGTGCTCATCTGGTCATTGAATTGATCGAACAGATAGGGAATCTCGTCCTCTTTGCTACCTTGACCCGCTTCTTCCGGTTCATCTAAGATGATCGGATCCAGTATATCGAGTTGGTTGGGTGATGTATTAAGCCAACTGTCCACTAGCAGCAGCTGGCGCGACGACACGTACCTTAGGGATTCACTTACAACAAAGTCCCTAAACGCACAATCTGGGTCATTGTGAGCACGAAATTGGTGATTTCCGAAGTACTCAGCATTGTAGTCCCTCCTCCCCATAAGGTATTCTGCCGCATCAGACGGCCACCTCTCCATATCTTCAGCGGCAATAAACTGCCATTCGGCGATGTTCAAAGCTACAAGCGCTGCTCTCAGTTCGTTTGTTATGATTGTAAACGCTATGTCAGAAACGACTTGGGGCAGTGCTTCAGGTTGGCCAGGCAATCTATTCAGGAAGCGGTTTACTTCTGGCTCGTGCTGTTTGAATACCGAGTACCTTTTGGATTCAAGTTTAACAAATTCTTCATACGAAACACCTTGATCTTTGTGTGTTCGAAATACGTGGTGTCCAAAGGCCTCAGCATCGTAGATCCTCCTCTCTGTCAGGACTTCAGCCGCATTAAACGCCCACTGCGCCTCTTCTACACTGCCAAAGGTTCCGATCCAAATTCTTTTACCATGATTCGTACGCACTTGCACCGTCCACCTATCACCACGTCGCCGGCGGATGTATCCCGTCTGCCCCTCCATCAAAAGAATTGCAGCTCAAACACAACGTAAAACACAAAAGGCTTCGCCACCAAGTGCAACTCCCGGTCTCCCTTCCCTGTAACCCAATTCCGCTCGTTCTCGCTCTTCCTCTCTCGCCCTTCCGACGTTCTCGCTCTTCCTCTCTCGCTCCTCCGACGTTCTCGCTCTTCCTCTCTCGAACAACGCCTCTCCTATTACGACGTCGGCGAATTGAGAGCAGGAGCACGAAGGGATACGAGACCCTAAATCACTAAGGAACTCTCAACATCGAAGCCTCGGCGTCGATCCCTCAGATGCTGGAGCTGTATAGCGCGTAACATGGTTGCTTGCCTGATTTCATCCAACTGAACTCATCCACATAAAACATTCATCCTCTCCGTGGGCTGCAAGAGAGAAGAGAGCTATTGCACAAGACAATGGAACTCAGGGGGTTCTATTATGTACCTTAACATAACCCATTCCATTCTATACTAAACTTCTAGTTATACAAAAGTTACATGTTTTATTTACAATATATTTCTTACAAAATATTCATTCTTAGAAAACTAAAGACACTCAAAGTCTTTTCCACATACAATCCAAAATTCAACAAAAGAAAAGAAAAGAAAAAAAAAAAAAAAAAAAAAAAAAACACTCATACCATTAAGTCTAAATTGTCTTACTTGGTGTTCTAAGCAACAAAAGTTGCTGGCACAAAATTGGTGCTACTCAAATTCTTTTGCAACATAGAATTGAAGTTACTTAGACTCTCTTATAACATGGATATGTTGACCAATGGCAAATGATCTTAATTAGATGAAGAATTTACTCCAAATAAAGATAGAACAATATGGTACCAAAAGCAAGGTATTTTAATTGAGTCCTTGCAGTTGTATGCATACATTGGTGCATTATTTTGCATTTTGGGACATTGCTTAGAATCAATAAGACAAGATATGTCCCTTAATTCACAACACTCTGTAGAATCTATGAGTTAGGAGAAGGTGTTAAGGAACAATGTGTCTCAAATCTGATAAAAGATGATGGATAGAAGCTAAATGATGAGTAGAATCAACTCCACCTGTGTCAAAGGATACTCATCAATTTTCTAATTATCATCATAATTAAATTACATAAATAAAATACAAAGCGAATTCTTATCTTTGATAGCTTGTCCATAATTCTTTGAGGGTGGTCTACAATCTCCATGTTTGCTAATTGATACTAAACTTGGGCATAATATGCAACACTTACTAATACAAAGAAGTATTAAATCAAGGAGGGATGAAAAGGTCGTGGGAAGAAGGAGAAAGAAGAGAGATGTGTTGATAGAATCCTCCGAACACCACATGAATCTAAAATCCTTCTATACTACATTCCATAATTTTGGCCTATTATATGCAATTTTCCTATATCAAATCACTAATAAATTACTTCTTGCAATATCTTAAATCTCCATTCTTTCAGACATTAATCCTAATATAGAATATCACTACATATATGTTTGATATACAAGACATATTGGCCATATAGGAAGAATTGAGCTTTAATTGTTCATTCTCCTATTTTTCAATATAGTTTACTTTCTACAATTTTGGAGGCTTTGGGATTATAGAATGCATCGTACAACAACACAAAGACTAGAAAAATAAACGCAATAATATCAAAAGATAGTCTACTAGTAAAAACCTTTTATATTTAAGAAGGTTTGTACATAATGTTTTCTAGAGTATCCAGAAATTTCCTAACATCCTTTACTATACCAAATAATAACTAATCATTTGCTGGTAAATTAGATTTTTAATAATTTCAAAAAAAATCCATAAGCTCCTTTCAAAAACTCATCTTTATATCAAAATTTTATTATAGCTCCATATTTCCATCTTTAACATGTATACAAAGTCTTAGCTCCCAAAAATCCCTTTATTTTATATAAAATGCTCAAATTATAGCAAAATCCCTTCAAAATATTTTTTTCTCATAAATGATTATTTTTCTTCAATCTTAAGAATTCCATATTTTTTGATCCAACTATTAAATATTATTTTAAATTTTTAATAATGTAACATTCATTGTTAAGCTTTACCACAAAAAAATAAATTACAAATCTATTGTGGATTGTTTGGCATCTTAGAAACCCTAGCAGGTGCTCTAAATCCTAAGTTATAAGCATCCGAGTACTATTCTATTTATATCTCTCAAATATAATATTTAAATACTACAAAACTTTTTATACAACTTGATAACATCATAATATATATTTTTTAAAATTTTGAGCCAAAATCTTATAAAATTGCTTGAGATATTGCTCAAAATACAACTACTAGTAAATCAGGTCACTTATTATCGTTAGATTCCAAATGTTGACTTCAACTTCCAATATCTTCTTTTAGCTTTGAATTCAATAAACAATATATGTAAATTGTAGCCAAAAACGTTTTCTCTCTAATCTTAGTCACCAATCCTTTATTGCTTTTTATATGCATGTGTTATGCTTCAAAGTATGACAATAGATACAAAATCAATACCTTAACTTTGAGTGCCTACATTTCTTTCACAAAAACTCCAAATCATACAAAATTTGTACCAATACCATATCAAAAAATCTAGACTTGATGATTCTAGCCTTTGATGTTTGAATCTCTTTGAAAGTACAATCCTAATACCTAATAAGGCCTTAAGAAGTCTCTTCCAAATCCATTGAGCATGACTTTTGGCCAATAAGAATGGAAATTTTTATCATCTATTTCCATCATCTATATAGATGACCTAATTACTCTTTTTGCTACCAAAATCTGTCTCCAATCTTTTTTCTTATAAGATTTATTTAATATATGTTCTTAACATCAAATAAAAGAACCAAAATAAGACTTAAAAGATTAATAATATCTAAAAAGATGACTCTAAATGTAGAAAAGTTACTATCAACAAAAATCAAGTTCAAAAGATACAATCAAAAGAAGATAAAGTGATACAAATTCTAATAGTAATCCTTTTGAATAACCTCCTTTCAAAGTGGTAATCTAACCACATTTTACAACCAACTAAAATCTCATAACATGATTCTCACTACATTATTTAGTTAATTTTACATTAAATGTATGTGTGCATTATTTTGATATGGTAGCCAAACCACAACACAACAACATAGACTAGAATGACAAAGTCCTTATTAATAAATTTTGATGCAAATTAAAAGACAATATTAAAGATTTATTATTGACAATGTTGAAAGTAATTTTTTTGGAACAATTTATTACTCAAGCCTTTGTATACAACAATCAAATATTTGAAAGATATCAAGAACAAAGATTTGGTTGAAGTGGAATAAGTTAAGTAATGATGGCAACTCTTAAGTTTTTAAAATTTTATTTATAAAGGTCATAATCAATGCAAATTGATACAATACATTACAAACCTCTCACTTAAAAAGAAAGTAACTCGACGTTGTTAAGAGAATTTTTGTTATATTAAAGAAAATCTAATATACTACTCAATATTATCTAAAGAAAAAATGCAATCAAAAAATAAAGAATATGGTGTCATATTACATGAAGTTTTACTTGAAAATGCACCAAGCACTTGGTTGCTGAAATAGAATGGAAATTGCAACAACAAAATCTTAACTCTAATATAATACTAAATAAATTCTAATTAGATCTTAACAATGCTAAATAAGCTTCAATCAAATTAAAAAGAAGCCTTAAAAAAATAATACAAAAAAAAAAAAAAAAAAAAAAAAAAAAATCTTAAAAGATTAAAAAAAAATCCAAAATACACCTTAAAAGAATTCCTAAGAAATCCTAAAAATAATTTAGAATAATTACAAATATATCTTAAATAAATCTCAACTAAGTTTTAATTTAATCCTAGTTAAAATTCTAATGGACTTCAATCAAATCCTAAACAAATCCTAAACTCTAAACCAAACTCTAGACAAATCCTAAATCCTAAATCAAATCCTAATCAACTCAATCAAATCCTAACCAACTCAATCAAATCCTAGTATAATTTAGAACCTCAACATCTATCAATAGAACTATTGATCTTACTTGAAATTTTACACACTTCTTAAAAACTAAGTTGGCAACAAGCACACAAAATTTGAAGATAATTGCATTTATCAAATGGAGAAAAAAACCCTAAAATCTGCTTAGGTGTTGGCCGACCTCTTATTCCAATCTGAATGTTAAATTTCTAACACCAATATCTCCTTTTCAAACTATTCAATTTTTTTCAAATTTCACATATATATAGCAAATCAAGCCTTTTACCTTCATACATTAATTTTATTCCAATCCAATTAGTAGATTGCCAAAGATCTTAGAAATCCTAATCACCTCTTAAAGTCCAATATTTAAAACCTCAACCTACTTGAAATTCAATAACCTTCAATTCAACCATTTGATCAAGCTAAAACTTACATCATATACATCAGATAAATATTTACATAAGTCTTCAAATTTTGAACTGTAGATCTATTGCCAAACTCACAAAATTCTCCAAAATATAGTACCTTTTTTATTTCACAAATTCTAGAATCATCTAAAACAGCTATAACTTTGTAAAGCTCTTATAAAGTCATTACACACTCAAATCATTCAAAATCAATGCTTAAAGAAACCCTATCAAGTCTACCCTCAAATCTTACTCTCCAATCTACAAAAGAATCCAGAAGTTACTATTTATGTCCAATGTTGTGCCTCAAGTTTTGATTTTGATTGAGGTTGGTAACTAGTCCCGTCTAGATATCAAATTTTATCCTTTTAAGTTATTTTTTGCTAAAATCAACTTCTAACTTCTTCTTACATATGCTCATATCTTTTATTTTTCTAATCTACCTTGTTTTGCCTTATTTATGGCATTACAAAGTAAATAGAAGCCTACTTTGCAAAAAGGTAGCATTTAAATCTTTAATTCTACTTTCTTTTGAACTATTGTCTATTTTCTAAGATGATTTGCTACAACATTTGGAATAAAATATTCTATAATATAATAGATTCTTCACCTTTTTTACCTATTAATCATGTTACATCCAGACAATGGTTGTCAAAAAATAAACTCCTATAGCTATAAATAGAGACCATGTAGTTGTTATCATGTGCAACAACTAATAAAGGTCTATAATCCAACCAATGCATTTTAATCGGTGGATTGATTAAAAACAAAGTTTTAAATCATTTAATTATATAAAATATTAAGATTAAAGAGTCTTTTTGACCATTCAAGTATTTATAAAAATTTAGAAGTATTTGTAAGTTATAAAAATCTTATTAGAAGAAAATTTATAAAAATAGAATCTTAATAAGTCTTTAAT